TGTGTGTACAGGCTTATCAAGGAAGGGTAGGTTTTATTCCAGTTAATATTGATCAGCCTTAGATCCTGTGTTGCATAATGCACAAGTCTATAAACTGAGACATCTTTCAAGCTACAAATTTAAAAAAAAGGCAGTTGTTTTGGTTAACAGAAAATAATCTTCATCCAAAGGCCTGATGAATAGCAGTGTGAATCGTGACCTGGATTTCTGAAGGTTTGTGATGATGGAATGTGTGTAATATATGAGGCTGCTTAGCTCCTCTGGGAGAAGGAATATATATATGCGTGGCCACTAACATGTCTAAACTGAAAATGCTTATGAGGTGCTAGTGCAAGTAAGTTGAGCACAGAAGTAGGTCTCGAGCCTTGAGAATCTAGCCCTTGGAGCATACTGGATCACTGCTGTTGCTAATGCCATGGCTGGGATTCGTCCGAATTTTAACCCGAGTTGGACAGTGAAAGCCTCAAGAGCTGGAGCACGTCACGCTCGCCTCTCTGGGGGTGCCCAAGGGGCCTGCAGGTGAAGCAGGGCACCAAGGTGAGGCAGCATCAGCACATGGTTCGTGGTGCGCACGCTGAAGCGGAGCTCTGATCAACCTCTCGCCCCTGCCCCTGCTCCACTGCCTTTGCTTGGACTGTGCAAACCTTCTCCAAGAGGAGGCTCTTGTTCAGCTCATTCTGTCTGTGTGGGTGTTTTTTTCCCTCATATGTGCAACAAAACACAGCCAGACATTCTGTATTTCTCTTGTAACATATTCCTGCCATGTGCCTAATGACTTGAGACTCCTAATGCAGCAAGGCCTTCAATCCAAGCTCAGCTCTTATGCTTAAAGTACTCACCTATGAACAAAATTCTAGGCACGTACTGGCCATCAGGTGAAAGATTCTTGTCTGTTGTTTCATACTTAAAGAAAGGAGATAAGATTCTTATTCAAGATCACAGCTGGGGATATTACAGATACATACATATATATATATACATATTTTTTTTTCTATTTTATACTTCGTGTTACGAAATAGAGCTTACACACAAAATTTTGCAACTCAAGAAATCTACTAATTGGGCTATGATCTTCTAACAGCTGGAGTTGCAAACAGAAACATAGTTAAAAGTTAGTATTACACTTTAAATCCTTTTATATTATTGATAGCTAGAGATAAGAGACTTACTACTAAATCTGTCATGCTTCAGTACTGGCCATTTTTCCTAGACAAGGCTAACTATTAAACAGACTAGTTATAGCTTGGGAAGCCATAATTAAAATAAAAAGTTGATTGCTTTCAGTTAAGGAAGTATAACTGGAAAACTTACCACAAGATTCAGGAGAATAAATTTTTCAGCCATTTTCTGTATGTCTTTGTTTTCAGCAAAGGCTTTCTTCAGTGCTGCAGTGGAAGCAATGTGGAGTAACAGTTTTATATATATATACACGTATATATATATGTATATATATATACGTGTATATATATATATACACGTGTATATATATATATGTTTTGAAATATGGTCTTTAAAAATGCCTTAAAAGAACGGATAGATTCACACGTTGCTGGCTGGTAGACTTTATACTTTACAGCAAATACAGATTTATACTTCATTCAGCTTCATTTTTCTGCTATAAATAGCCATGTCTAACAGCACACAATTTTCCTCTTCCTTCAGTTTGAGCAGAGAAACTTTGAAGAGATCTACACTAATTGGAATTTGAGTATCTGACTCTCTGAACCTGTTCTGGTATTATGACTTCAGCCTGCAGCCCTTAAAGTGCTAACAATATAGTGAAAAGGTATAGTATCTCAACCTGAAATGTCTCAAAAGATCTTAATGCCTGGATCAAGTTCCCTTGGGAGTTACTGGGGCTATTGGTGGATGCAAAAGCCTTGCTGCATGGATTGGCTGGTAGGATGGGGAGCTTGTGAGAAAGTTCAGAAACACAGAGAACATAGGACAGCCTCAGCTACTAGAAATATCCTCAAAACTCATTTCTGCCTGGTTTGATTTGTCTGTGGTCAGATTTGGTTGCAAATATCAGTGATTTTTGAGAGCTGAATTCTTCCTTTCCTTTTCCTTTCCAGAAAATTTCAGTTGTTGCTACAGACAGGATGCTGCCCTCAGTTTCAGCTGATTCTAAGGCAAATGAAAAATATGCAGTTCAAAGTTTTCTGATCTGTGCCCTTTCCTGTCTTCATAAAGAGATGTAAGTATCACGTAAGACCAAAATGCAGGTATTTTTGTGCTTGATGAAATAAGGAAGTATTTTACTCTAATTTTAAAAGTATTATGCCTGATTCCACAAATTAGTATTTCACAAATACTTATCGAGCACGTAATTTTTTTAACATTACATTAATATTTAATAGCTTATAACATGACACATGCTGAAGTTGAATAGCTGATGCTTTTCTGTGCAGAGTACTTACCTTGACTGTGTGGGCAGTCCTCCAAGTGGTGAATAATCATCACAGGCTTATTGCTGAAAAGGAAGGTGCCTTGTTAGGTGGGGAGAGGCGTGGGATGCGCTCAGGGGCTGTGCGAGAAGGGGGCCCGGCTTGCAGGGCTGCAGTACCTGGTCTTGGAGCGGAAAAGGGCTTCCTCGTAGGTCTGTGTCCAAATGAGATGGTCTCCCCAGCCTGCAGGGGGAAGGGCAGGGCAGTTTAACGGAGCAGAAGTTAAGTTGCTAGAGCTGCTGTAGGAATCTGAACTGTAGCATGGTTGCATTTCTTAAATATTTTATTTTTATTACCTCTGGAGAGCGTCTGTGGCAGTTTGGGCTTAGTCTCTTTGGGCGCCTTGTTTCCTTCCTTTGTCTCCTTCTTGGGTGGCTCCTTAGCCAGAGCGCAGGAGAGGGCAACAAGCAGCAGGAACACCGACATGTAGCTCTTCTCCATGGCTGCCCCTGGGGAGGAGAGAACCGTGAAACCGCCGCGTTGGCCGAGCGCGGAGGTGCCGCTCGAGCGGCAGCGCAGGACGCAGGTACGCGGCGGGGTGAGTCAGTGCCCAAACCAGCTCCCCCGGGCACGGGCCTGCGCTGGTGGGGCAGCGAGGGACGAGGCAGGTTCGCTTAGCAAACTGGCCCAAAGGAACCAGTTGTTTCTACTGCTCTGTTCTCCCCCTGGGCCGCAGTCCTCTTAGCTGCTTGCTTTGGTGCTGGTTTCTCTTTTTACAAATGTTGAATTTGCCCAGTAAACAAGCAAGTTTTGGCAATTTCTACAGGAATCCAGAAGGACTTTCAAGTCCCACATGCACAGCTCTAACTAGACCTCTCAAAATCATAGTAACCAAGCACTCCACCAGCATAGGTGCTGAAAAAATGTTTTTCTAACCTGTTCCTCTGATGCAGCTATGTCAATTCTAATGAGAAGTAAATAGCAAGCTATGTTTTATGTCTATGTTATGGACACGGATGCAACTTAATGCTGGGGTTGAAACCTCAGAGCATGTTTTCCCTTTGATTAGTCTTATCTAGCCCTTAAAGATAAGGAATTACCAGTGGAAAAGTGAGAACTGAAATGCATTTTACAAGCTGAAACAAGGTAGAAAGCAGAGGGCTCTTCCTGAGCCTGACATGGGGGTTTGGGATGGAGGTGAGGTGGACCTGATGGGAAGCTCCTCAGCAGGCCAGCTGGGATGCTGCTTCCGATTGTGGGGAGAGGTGGCAGGGGTGGGGAGCAAAGTGACCCTATGACTTCTCATTAAATTTCCCTCCTGAAAACTCAAATACCTGTTTAAAGGGTAAGATATTCCAAGAGCAATTTAGAAAATCCAGAACAAGCATGCAAAAACTACAGGGGCTGGAAACTTTTAAAATTCAGCTAATGAAAACGAGAGCCGCGGGAAGCAGAAGCATTCCTCTGGGCTTCGGAAGGAGTTGCTGGAGAAGGCATTAGCTGAACTCAATCAGTCTGAATGGCTCTTTGTCCCTGGGACATCAGCAAACCTTCAACATCCCCAGAGTCATCCTTTCAAAGGCACAAAATGTGCTTTTGAAAGACTGCCTTCTGCCCTGAGAAAAGTCTCCTTTGCAAGGAAGAAAATTACATAAAATTAAATTTAGTCCAATGGATTTCCAGTACTGCCTAGCAAGTTGTTCTAGCTAGATGAGGAAGAAATGCTTAAAAAAAAAAAAAAAAGACAAAAAAAGACAAAGAAGCATTTGCCAACCAGGAAACTGAAGACAGAGAATCACTAGACCTGCTCTTTTAAAACTTCACCTCTGCAAAGCTCTGTGCACTTCTGCTAAGTTCTCCACCCCACAGAACCTCTCCCGTCCTGCCTCTTTTAACCTGAAAAGACAGCATTTCCCAACATGTTTTCTTTTTAGCAAGCCATCCCACACCGTGGCCAGGTTCCTGCAGTCTTTTCTTCCCATTGATACTAGCTGCCTGCCTCTAGGTAACCTGAGCCAGAGCTCGCAGGTGTTACAGGCCCTTTCCAAGAAGCTTGCATTGCTTTACCTTGTTTACTCTCCCGACGCCTGTTCAGGTGAGAGGGTGTCCGCAGTTACAGTGTGAGCACTACGGTTCCTGCTGCCTATTTATGCACCTTCCTGCACCCCAGCTCCACCCCTGAGCTTTGGATTTGAATATTACTGACAAAGAGACAAATCTTCCAATTTCCTCCTCACCAAAACACAGTTGATTAATTTTGAAATAAAATAACATTACTACTTCCAAGTTGTAACCCATATGTAAAGCTCAGAGATGTTTCTGATGACTTTTTGGACATTTTTAAAAGAGGATTTTTAAATGTTGGCAAAGCTCCAAGTCCAGGTAAGCTTAATTCCAGACTCACGATTTGCCTGAGGAGTGATTTGTCTTTTTTTGATTGGTTGAGAACTGAACCTGTATCCCTGTCCTTGTAGACCTCTAAAAAATAAGATGATGACTCAGAACTCCAGGTGTTAATTAGATACATATTATACATTACATGAACATTATACAGACATATATGTGCATGTGCACATACAACACTTTATAGGAAAAGTTTCAATGGAACATAATAGCAAGTTTATGAAGATCTTCACTAAAAGCATACTTAGAAGCCATAAAAATTGTCTATGTTCATAAGTTGATATCTAAATAAATTCAAATGTCATGTTTCATTCTGAAGACACTTATTTTAGCTACAATATAGCAATCTACCATTTGGGGTTTCAGATGTGTGTAGTTCAGTGCAACCCTCAGGAAAACTATAGACCATCTTATGTTACTAGAAGGTCATCCCTATCATTGGCACAGAGAGTAGATGGTGCTTTCTAAGAGGTCACAGCACTCTTGTCCTGGGTAATGAAATTAAAGGTGCTATGTGTGCCTCATATATCTTAGTGAGACTTAATTCACATCTCCACAAGCAGTGACCACTTAACATTACTCGGTTGGGTGGATAAAATCAATCAGACATGGCCTTTTCTTTTTGAAAAACATTGCATTTTTTGATAGCTACTAATGACATTTTTTTTGAATGAATGAATGAATTTCAGAGAAAATGGTGCTTTGGATTACAGCCTTTTAAACCCTTTAAAATAGTAGTTAGGAAAATAAGGAGCAAGATGGTGAAGTCAAGCAACAAATAATTACTGTTCCTTGCAAGTGTGTATTTAGGTGCTTTGCTTAGATTTTTTACTGCAAGTGTTAGAAGGGTGGTATAGTATGGGAATCCAAAGCTTCTGGGGAGGCTCATCATTTTAACTCCCATTTCTGTGTTTCATGTCATGTATAGTGGGGTAACCGAATGAAATAAGAAAGAGATTGCATATAACATTTTGCTCCTATTAGAATACTTCTCCCAGAAGACTCAGATGTATTTTGTTGGGTGTTACATTGTGAATCCAAATCGCTTCCACTCTAAGGCGTTTTTTTTTTGATTTGTTTGTTTGTTTGTTTTTCTAAAACTTATATCAAAAAAAGTTCTCCAAGTCCATGTTCGAAACAACTCTCTGAACAATCAGGTTGCTTCCTTAATCCACCTCAGTGTGGATTTAGGATTCAGCCAATTGGGTATCCGCTTCTGAAATCTTTGTCTTATCTCTGGCAATTCTAAATTATAGTTTGACATATTCTTGCTGACTTGTCAGGGGGCACTTAGTGTATATCTGGTAGTTTTAAAGCCTGTAGCAGAAGTTCTTGTTGCTTTTAAGTTATGTGAAAAGATAATGAATAGGCACACTTTTTGTGAGCTTGTCTAAATATGCGTTCTGAAAACTGAGTCTAAAAACTAAACACTTTTTGGCACTTGCCTTATTTATATTACCCTTCATGATGCTTGTTCAGAATTATTTTCTATCAGAAACTTCTTTTTTTTCATTCTTTTTTTGTTCTGATTTTCATGTCTCTTCTGATCGCTTTGTTCACTATCATCACAGCTTTGGTGACCAACATTGTTGAAGAGATTTCCTGAAGCATTCAAAGTGTTCAGGTAAATACCTGCTACATTGCTTATACCTGCTGATGATTTGCCCTGAAGGATGTTTTTTTCCCCAAACATGCTAGCTTAACACCCTCCCCTTTTCCGTTGAATGGATATCTTTATTAATCTGAAGTAACTACAATTTCTTGGTAGTATTTTTCCAACTGGATAGAAGAAGAGATATCAGGATTCAATATATTTATAAGTATATGACCTTTTGAAGATTACTTCCAAAAAATGCTTCTGTAGAAAATACACCAATCTGACAGGTTTTTGATATCTATGAAGGCAGTTTCCCACTTGCATTTGGATGTATATAATACAAATCACCATCACTAGGTGTAAATTGACAAGCTGGAATGCGAGCATGGAATGTCCTTTAAATAGCTTCAGCTAAAAGTTGGAGTTTATCATGTAACTGGTTCATATGTTATACTCTGTTTTGTGTTGTGAAGTACTGGAATATGCTGGAAGCAATTGCTGAATGGCATGTTTCCAAATCAGCAAGTCGTTTGAACAGCCACAGTAAATGTACCTGGTCTTGTGTCGTTCGGAGCACTTTTTCATAACGGAAACTACCATGATCTATTGCACCAAGGACAGTCAAGGTTTTCAGCACATGTGGTTGCTGTACTTGAATTCAGTAAGAGAAAGCCTGATCCTGACAACTATTAAAGTTAGTTTTCTAATGCTTCATTCAGTCTCAACCTCAGGCATTGGCAATGGAGAGGCATTGAGTGAATGAAGAGTTATTTCTTTGAGGAGAGGGGTTTAGAAGCTGTGGGTGCATCACAGCCTAGAGGGTTCTTCTCTAGAGAGAAAACCTACCCAGTTGTCTTACCTGAGCAAGTTGTCTGTGACTGGAAAGGCTTCAAGAAAAACTCTTGTACTTAATTTTATGTAAATTTAATTAACAAAACAAGAAGCTTTGTTTAGAAACAGAAAAACTTCTGTACCCAGGGATTAGTCAATGACATCTCCCCATCTAAGCATATTGATGTTCAAATCTGTAAGCAAAAATCTGTTATTTTTAACTTGTTTAGTTAATCTTAGTCCAGGAACTCCCTGTTTTCCTTATGTTCTACCCCCAAAATCAGAAGATTTTGGTTTCTAGATAATATCAGTGACTTGTACTTTTTTTCTGGAATATGCTCAGGGTCAAAACCTGGCTACAAGATGATTTCAGAGAAGAAACAATATCTCCTGCAACTGATAGAAGCCATTATGTGCTTCACTTCTCTAAAGGTGACTGGCAAGACACCACTGTCGCAACCAATACAGATAAAAGAAAACACATGATGTCAACCCTGACTCCCAGAATTGGTCCCTGAGTAACACAGAAGAGTATTCTTCATATTCATAACATCTTACCTTGGATGTTTACACAAATAAAGGGTTTACACAAAAAAGTAAATATGTCTAGAAGTATTCTGGGAGCACTATGCAACTAGCACAAGTCCTTTTTCAGCCCAAGTCTTAAGGATGACTCTTGCTCGTAGCAATATCGCACTGTGAATGTTGTTTTTGTTTTCAGGCCAGTATCATAATCATCATCACATCTTTAATGAAGCTTATTTGTTCTGTAAATTTCCTCTCTGTTGTTAATGCTGTTAGACTTTTTCTTCAAGCAACATGATCTCTGGAAGTAGTGGCACGTCCTGGCCATATGACGTGCTCCATGGCATCAGACATCTCCCAAATTCCTGATGTTGTCTTGGCTTCTGTATTTGCCACAGAGTGTGCAGTTGCAATGCTCACAGATCGCGCCTTTTGGATGGACTCCAGCTTCACTGTTTCCTGCAGTAGGTCTCTCAGTTTTCCACTATGTCCCCCCTGTATCCAGGCTAAACTCGCCATGTCCCCCCTGTATCCAGGCTAAACTGTCCAATTTAGCCAACAAAGTACCTAGGAGGGATAATTTGCTGCAGGCTGTAACAGATGGACAACTGCAAGGAGTAACTGATACAGCAGATTATTGTGCTGCAAGCACAGCCTTGTGAAGTTCAACAAGGAAAAGCGCAAAGTCCTGCATCTGGGCCGAATGGTTTTGCAGAAGAGGATGTGAGGGTCCTGGTGGACAACAAGTTAACCAGGAGGCAGCAATGAGGCCTTGTGGCCAAGAAGGCCATTGGGATCCTGACCTGCATTTGGAGGAGTGCTGCCAGCAGGTTGAGGGAGGGGGATCTTCCCCCTCTGCTCAGCTCTGGTGAGGCCTCACCTGGAGTATTGGGTGCAGTTCTGGGCTCCGCAGTGGAGCTTCTGGAGAGGGTGCAGCGTAGGGCCACAAAGATGATTAACAGACTGGAGCATCTATCATATGAGGAAAGACTAAGCGAGCTAGGCCTGTTTAGCCTGGAGAAGAGAAGATTGAGAGGGGATCTCATCAACATGTAAAAATACCTGAGGGGAGAATGTAAAGAGGATGGCACCAAACTCTTCCTGGTGGTGGTCAGTGACAGGACAAGGGGTAATGGGTAAAAATTAAAACACAGGAAGTTCCATGTCCTTGTGAGGAAGAACTTCTTTACTGTGAGGGTGACAGAGCCCTGGAACAGGCTGCCCAGAGAGGTTGTGAAGTCTCCTTCTCTAGAGATCTTCAAACCCTGCCTGGATAACACCCAGTGCCACATGCTCCTCTAGGTGTCCCTGCTTGAGTAGGGCAGTTGGACTAGATGACCTCTAGAGGCCCCTTCCAACCTCAACCCTTCTGTGATTCTGTGATTCTCATAGCAAAAATCGACCACTTCCTGGCCTGCACTAGACAGAAAATTTCCAGCAGGTTGAGGGAAGTGATCCTTCCCCTCTACTTAGCACTGGTTAGACACATGTGGAGTACTGTGGCCAGTGTTTCGGTCCTCATATAAAAGATGCATGAGTCTAGTGAAGATGACAGAGGGCAGGAGCATCCATGATATGAGAAGAGGGTGAGAGAGCTGGGATTATTCAGACTGGGAAAGACAAGGCTCATGGGGATCTTATCATTGATATTTTACTGCTTATGGGGCTTATGAGGCACTAAAGAAGACAGAGTCAGAATCTTCTCAGTGATGGCCAATGAGCACAAATTGAAATAC